TTGTTGTCAGCTTGTGCATGAACAAAAAATATGTAATTCAGAGGGCATCATAAAAAGAAAGAGTTACTCTATATTCTAGTAAGAATTTAATTTTTTTTCTGCCCTGACACCTAGGACAAAGAATCCAGTGTCCAAAAATTCTGGTTCTTTTTCTCTGATCTGTCAAATTACTTTATTTTTGTCCAGAAGCCTTGTAATTTTACTAATAACATTGGCCCTCATTTATCATTCTTGCGTAGAAATGGGTGTATATGTTGGCGTAGGATTATGCTTACACTCCTCGAATCACGTCCCTATGATCACGTCACATGTATAATAGTGATGATGGTGATGTGATGTGAAGTACCATTCATTCACATTAATAATTGCATGACAATTTGTAATATTCTTATTATTATTATGATTTGTTTTAATGACGCTTATTGTTATTTAGAAGAAGGATGTCGTTATTATTATTTGTATTTTAATGATATTATTATCATTTAAAAGAAGAAGAATATATTTTTTATTATTTTGTCAGTCTGAATTATTTTTGGTCATTGAAAGCCTTTCATTACTGAACCCAGTCCGTCCGCACCTGCCGGGAATAATCCTGAAACGTCGGTTAAAGCACACGGCTCACATCTGAAGGAATAATGCTTAAAAATCACCAATCATGTGCGGTGATTGGTCTATGAAAAATGGACCTTGACATTTCATTGGATGGCCAAAAATGGAGCTCGTAATTGTTTTTTTTTTTAAAGATGGAGCTCGTCATTGTATTGGATAGATTTTACAGACAAACGGCTGTCAGGTACCGCGATTTCGGACAGATGTACTGGAAGATTGTCCAGCAGAGATTTCTGGGAGACCGTCCGTCACTTTCGAGATGAGCAGAGCTGATGGTCCCAGAGAGCAAAAATGTGTCCTGTACGGGGATCAAACCCACGACCTTTGGCATTATTAGCACCACACTCTAAGCAACTGAGGTAACCGGCCCGCCCAGACTGTTCTTATCCACAATTTTGCCAAAAATATCCTGGTTGCCCTAGTCAGGCTGAAGAGATTAAATACAAATCATTTTAATGGGTTTAACCAGGATTTGAACCCGGGACCTTCTCGCAACCAAAGCAAGAAACATACCCCTAGACCAACGAGCCATGATGTGTCTCTTCTGCTGCTGCCTGTTCACAAACATTTCCATTTCCATGGCTTGAAGTGCAAAATGCACACATGCTAAGGATCGATCCACACCATTTGTTTTTTGAGAGCGATGGACACCTTCTGTCTGAATCTTTGAGGGGAATTATCTCAAATGGTCGAATGCTCACTTTAGCATGCAAGAGGTAGCGGGATCAATCCCTGCATTCTCCACGTGGTGTACCTCACTTCAAAGGGCTGCTCCTAGATGAGCTTCTGAGGATAACTGGGCAGTCCAGAGTGCTAACCATTACACCATGGAACCTTGGTATGGGTCACCTTTCCCCAACGGCTGAAGAGATTAAAAGCAAATCATTAGAACATTTCCGTTTACATGCCGTGGTGGACCTCCCTTTTAGGCTCACTTTAAAGGGACACTCCCTAGATGAGCTTTTGAGGATCACTGCCGTCTAAAAGTTTGTTAGGTGTTTAGTCATTCTGCCAAGAAGCGTGACAGCAAAGGTTTTAGAACCTTTTGTTCTTGCCGACCTGGTTTTAGAGTGCCAGTTTCACTGCAGTTTTGCCAACTCTCACGCATTGAGCGTGAGACTCACGCAATTGAGCCAATTCTCACGCTCTCTCGCCACACCCCCGATTTCTCAAGGCTAAAGTGTCAAGTCGGTCTGTAAAATACCTGAAAATGAGTTTATCTATAGATCCACCAGTTGAGCCACTCGTTTTAACCGCAATTAGTTAAAATATCTCTAATTAGAGCTAGCGTTCATGCAAGACAGATGTTGAGCTCCTAACGGCGTGGACGCAAAGCCAGGACTGGAGTCAAAGCATGTTCCTCTCT